ACATAAATGGGATTCTTTATTGTGGGAATTTTTCAATAATTTATGTTTATGGAAAAGCTAAATTTGTTGTCTGGCCTAGCTAGATGTCTGAAGTTGGTTATATGGCCCACCGGCAAAAAATGTTGCACACCCCCTGTATTATTCCAACATCTCAATGGTTCAGCACTTCCTCATAATTACAAGCATTTAGCTCAGCCCAATGCTATCTAATACTATTAATATGGATGACTTACTATGCTGAGTTGGCTTTGCAAGTTGTTTCGTTACTCCTTTATCTGATTTTTCTGCATCTTCTTCAGACAGTAGGAGTTCACTTCTGAAGATAAGATTGGAGAATGCAAATGTATTAATTTTGATCCATTGCTTAAAATAACAGCCCCTATTACTCAATTTCAAAACTCTTCTCCCCTCACCCACAGCGTTAAAGATTGTGCACCATGTAAGCTGGTGGGCATGGGCTTTGAACCAAAGATTTCTAACCTGTGATAGATAATAAGTTCAACAATTTAACCACTAGGCCAGAGGTTCCCACGACACGAAAATTAACAGAATTGTGTTAAACATAGCTGAAATATGTTTTTTACATACCTATTGTAATTATTATAAATGTTTTATTATTTCTCACTTTTGATGATGTGTATATGAAGATATATGCTTATCAACAAGCATAGTTGAGCAATTTGTCAACTTGACATCAGAGTTTAATGACTTATATAAATTTTGTTCAAGCACCTGTTTGAAATGGCCACAAGTGCAACATTCTATCTCTGCAAAGCTGGGTTTTCAGCAGTGGTGTCAATCGAAACAAAATACCGGATACGTTTGGACATAGAGAGAGAAATGCATGTGCATAACAAGTATAACATGTCGCTTTGAAAAGATGTGTTCAGAGCAACTGCCGCACACCTCTCATTAAATAAATAAGTTGAATGTTTTTAATGGCATTCCCTTTTCTTGAGGCGCACATATTGACAAACTTCAAAAAGCATAAAATGCACATTAACGATCACAAAATTCATTTTTATCCGAAGGCAGCAAGTTTCATGTACATGTACCACAATTTTTTCCCTGATAATTTAGCGCCGTACGAACATAAAGTTTGGGAACCGCTGCACTAAGCCATCACTATCCTTGACAATTGAAATATAGGTGAGCATTATATATCATACAAAGTACTGTTATATCTAACCTGGGGCTTCCTACTTCTTGTAAAGTCTCCACATTTTCTCCAGTATTCTCAAAACAGTCGTCTGGTGATACTGAAAAAGAATAATAAATGATTATCAAAAAATGATAATACTATTTAAGACTCTGTTTTGAGCAATTTAACATCGTTTATCAGAAACTATGATAGAATTTCTCAATTTACTGGAAAAAAAAAGGTAAATCAATAATACGGCTTATACAGTGAACCATGGCCTCTCATCCGGTTACCAGTCCATGTCAGGTATGGGATTAATTAGCTAGTTATTTGTTTCAGATGCATGGACTTAATGATAGAGGAAGCTCAATAAACCAGTGGGATAGGGTTAGGAACCACTATTTGACGACATGGATTTCAGCAAACCTCTCGCACTTAATTATCCCCAAGATCCGAAACTGTGAACCGAGCAAGATAATCAGATTGGTATGCCAAGCATCCATCCATAATAATGCTCTGCAACCAAATGTAACAACTTGGAAACAATTTATATTTTTCCATGAAATTAATTTTGAATATCCTAGATTTATATTCAATCATATCACACTGAAAATTTGTTCAATATTTCCATATTTATATTAAACAATAAAAATACAAAATCTGTTCAAGAATCACAATAGGCTATATAACATGTTGCAAGATGCTGTTGAATGATATGCCAGATTCATCAGCATTGAAAGTATATATATTTAACATTAAATCCCAAAAAATGAAAAATACTTGATGACCATAACTAAAATACTTGATGACCATTACGTACTCATCATACCATAGCACCACTCAATTTAAAAAAAAATATCTATAACTTACCAAATTCAGCTTTTGAAGTTGTGGTCGTAAGTTGTTTAGAAAAAACATTAGTTGTAGCATCTGCTGACTTCCTTTGACTTTTGAGTGTATTCATGTAACTGAATTTTTAGTACCTGTAATGAATAAAGTTTTTATACAAGATTAGCACTAAGCACACAGAACAATATTTAAACAGACAATGGTATCTAATACTCCAGTGCTAAAATTTGATGCATTTTCCCATAAAACCATACTATATAAAAGTGCTGCTTATTTTATTAAGAATTCTTCCATTTATTGAAAAACTTTCAAAATTTGCATACTTTATCTTATCTTTGATAACTCACTAAACTGACAGTCTATTGGTATTCATTAAAATAAAATTATTGTGAAAAATTAGTAAATTCATTTCAAATTTAGACTTTTGCTTGGCGAAACAGAAACACAAATGAATCTTGATACAAAACCTTGATATTGTATAATTTTTGTTATTGGTTTCATTTGATAAAAAAAAAATTAGGCATCTATGCAGTAGAGCAAGATGATATAATTTTGGAACTAAAAAAATGTACTATGAAATTGTTCTTTTTATTAAAGCACAAATAAACATAATTAAAAAACAGCAAATACCGTATATGCTCGTTTTACCGCCCGATCTTGATTAAGGGCCCGTTTGAATAGCTGCCCGTGTGAACAGAACATAAAAATAATAGAGGCCGGTGCGAATACCCGCCCGATGTAAAGCTGATTTTCTCAGTGGTAGAGAACAATGGTAAATAAGAATTTTAGGCGCTGGTAGATAACACTCACGCCTCAGGCGTCCTAATTACGTAACACCGTGGTTCTCAAACTGGCGTCGCGACGCTGTTGAATTTTAAGCGCTGTAGATAACACTCACGCCTTAGGCGTCCTATTACGTAACACCGTGTTCTCAAACTGGCGTCGCAACTACTAAGTGCGTCATTTCAATATTGATAGGGCGTCGCAAAACTTTTCTTCTTTTGCGGATTTGTACTTGCGGTGCGTAGAAAAAGTCAAAATTTTCGTTATTCTTGTTTAAATCATACTTGAGAACTGGAAATGACAATATATTAATTATTGTAACGATCGATCTTATCTATATATATATATGTTTTTTTATATATTTTTGTGTAAAATTTTACTTTAAAAATAACAAGCGCCTGTGCTTGAATAAGGGCCGATTTGAATAAGGCCCGGTTAATGAGTTTGGTTAAAAAAATATGGGCCCGGGCTATAAAACGAGCAAATACGGTTAGAATATGTGCAACACAATCACATTGACTGCGATGACATTATATTTTAATCACTCCTTTAAAGAATTGAAATGACACCAATGGAAATAACATACACCTCGGTGAAACTTCAAATTAAAGTGTTCAGTTCAGCGTGAACAATTTAGACTAGAAGTTTATTTCAGTTTTTTCGCAAATAGTTGATTTCATGTCTGTCCCATATTTTATATTTAGAATATCGCAGAAAGAATTTCAAACCTCAGATCCAATTTCATTCAATTGATTCTGCAATATTTCTATATCTTTATAAGCTATTTTCCATCCTCTTAACCAAACTTTCTGTAACATTAGGAAGCAGATTTGCAACTGCAACAATTTCTTCATGGTTTGCAGTTCGATTTTCATCCAGTAACAAGTGATCAATCTGTTGAAATAAACAAATACAAAGAACAATCAGACATGGATAAAATATATAACAGTCATATTCATCATAGTTTTGCCAAACCCATATTATTCATATTACACAGAAATGCATTGTAACATTAAATACAGCCTGGTGCTAGAAGTTGGGAGTTTTCATCAAGGGAGAAACAATAGTTATCAAAATTCAATGTTTTCGCTGTGTAGCATTTTTTGTGGTGAAATCAATTGTATTTCACAAATCGCTAACATTTGTAATCATTAAACAAAATTGTAAAATCATTGTTAACTCAGTGCAACAGAGGCAAAATTGAAATTTCAAAAACAGACAAGCTCTTGTGACATTAAATACCTAGCCAGGTGCCAGAAGTCAAAGGTTGTTTTGGAAGGTAATTCATTGATTCTGTACTAAAGACTAGAAGTTAAAGTTTGTCACAAGGTTTACTGAAATACAATGGGACATTCGAACATTCATGATATCAGAATTAATCCTTCCATTGTAAATGTCAAAAGATTTATAGCGTTAATGGTGCTTCAATCAGTGTGACGTACATATACAGCTTAGAATAAAATAGAATGGGAATCGCATGTCAGTGAGGAGAACGTTTAAGTACGGTCTAGTAAATCTAGAGGCGCTAGTCAATGTAAAAATAGAGACTACAAGCACCATTAAGCGTGGTAACCATGACAACTGCTCACCCGGGGCACTGGCAGCTGATTAGATTAGGTACAGGTTTGAGTTTTCAAGGATGCATAAGATAGGATTTGCGAAGTGCAGGCGTGTATAAAATGTTGACTAATTAATTTACCCATTTGATAAGAAGAGATTATGAAACATGAACCTCGTACTGTCATTGTGCTTGAGTAAAAGATGAGCACCATAACTCTGTGTGAAATTATTAATATTAATGATTCTAATCAGTGAATTGAATATTCAACGAAATGCGAGTAACTATAAAGACTATAATATGAAACAGTTATTCAGGGGTTCCGTAACAAGCAGTCAATGAAATGTTTAACAACAATTGGGAATAGTGTAGAGGTGTAACCATTCATGTTAAAGGTAGTTGTAATGCACAAAATATAACATTTATCAACAACTTAGCATAAAAGGACTATCTAACTGATTTGAGATCAAGGTTTATTGTACATCTATGGCCTGGAAATTATTGTTTTGAATGTCATACTGCACCCAATATTATATATGGGTGATATCCTCAGAACACTCCTATCTATCCCATGGAATATGTCCATGCAATGGTACCAATTAGCAGAGAAATACACTATAAAACTATGGTAATTATAGAATGAGATTTAAAAAGTCACAAATCACATAGAACGACTATTCCAGGTACTTACGACTCAATAGTTATGAATCTGGTCAATTGTTTAGCTGAAAATGGCGAGAAAATGGAATACCAACACGACATTAACTGGGAGATGTGGCAACAGCAGATTGGCAAAAGAAGAGCATGAGTTTTTATATTTTGCAATTCGGAAATTCGGTTTTCTATTCGGAAATTTGGGTGGCTCCGTCAGGTAACTATCTAATTATAATAACACATATAAAAATTTCTAATAGTTCATTGATAACTATAAAATTCATCGTTTTGCATCTTATAGGCCTACTGTTTTTCAGTCAAGTGACAATTTTTTTGGTCAAAACGATTGTATTTCATATCATCAGAAAAGAAGGGCAATTTCGCGTATTTCACACAATCACAGAACAAGACTCAACAGAACCGTATTGGTCAGAAGAATTGATTATTATGTTTTTCAAACAAATTTTGAATAAACGAGTAGGCCTGAAAACTAGTCTTAAATACGATAAACTTAGAATTGTAGAGGTTTTTCATAAATTCCACCATGCAATCCAATTTTGGGTTATGAAAGTGTAAAACTATAACATATTAAAAAATCAAAATTTCCTCCAACCCTTGTTAAAACGTTAATTATGTCATTATTATTGTGTTATACCTCTGTGTTTCCCAAGGATGATTTGAAAGCTTGTAGTTGATCTGATGACAGGTTGCAGCTTTGAAGGCCCAAGTATTTAACACAGGATTGATTGGAAAGTATTTGTCCAACTGTTGACAAACCTTCAACTCCCATGTTTGTGTTTTCAGCCAAACTCATGATCTATAAAGAGACAAGAATAATTTATAAACCATAAATCTATAAATGGTTCTCTACTGAGTGAGAAAAAAAAATTATGAACTTCTCAAACTGAAAGTAGTTTTCGATACAAAATATACCATTAATATTTCATAGAAAATACCGTTGAATTTAAAAACAAAATCTGAACTACAAAACTAGACATATCAGAATTAAAATCTGTAAATTCGGAATAGTTGAATCCCATGTTAACAACTGCACAAGATGAAGGATTGAGCAATTATGAAATCCTTGAAACTCATAGAACAGAACAAAAATATTGTTATGTATCAAAACAGTCACACTTGCATTAAATTTCAAAAGTCAAAAAATGTTTTGACCTGCCTTTGCTCACTATGAGATAACAAAATTCCTAAAAAGTTTAGCATTTGCGAAAATTTCTCGCAGTTTTTGCAGGGAAGTGCACTTATAGTAAACAAAGAAAAATTGTAAGCTCATACTATAGCTTAAAACAAAAAATTTGAAAATCAAGTTTTGTTTTTTCACTTTAATACAAAAATCACCATTGGGTGAAATAGCGATCGGGTCGTTGCTGCAAGCCATGTCAATTGGACAAAAACTCAGCTAATTCTGTGAAGTTTCATTGAAAATATTTCTAAAAACTTTTTAGTTCCTGATCAAGCATATTCATTGTGTACAGCGGTTTTCTATTCGGAAATTTGGGTGGCTCCGTCTGGTAACCATCTAATTATTTTTACACATATAAAAATTTCTATAAATGGTTCTTTACTGAGTGAGAAATAAAAAAAAACAAGCCGGTAGGCACCCAGGATCTCCGCTGATAGTTGGGGCCCGCACTTAGCTACTTATTGCCATCCATAGAAACTTGAGGATCTTTAACGTGGCGATTAACTAAGTGAGCGGTTGGTTAAAAAGTCCAATTCATTTTGAGCGCTGCGCGTTTTGTAGACATACTTACGTGACTGATATGCGGTGACTAAAAATTGGAAAGAATCATGTTCATTAAAATCCCTAAGGCTTCTCCAGTTTATGGAGTATCGAGACCAAAGACGACTTATTGGAAAGCGTATTTTGTGCAGAAGGTAGCGTTCTTGAAATTTCAAATTAACTAATTCAATGAACGGCGATAAGTTGGGAAAAAATGGGAATTTCACAACGATCGGCGCGTTATTCGTCGTTGTCATGGAAACGAAACCTCCATCCGGACTTTCTATGAAACGCACAATACTAGGGTGACATGATAACCCACGTGAGAAATTTCATCCCGATTGGTCCAGACAGATACACAGACAGAACGACTGATAATAAAAGGGTCTCCTAGAGCGGAGATCCATTATGAACATTTACAAACTGGAAGTGGTTTTTCGTGGAATTTCTAGGTTTTGATTCACGATATTCTAGACCAGGGTGGTCCAAACCCAGGCCCGCGGGCCAGATGGTAATCAAAAATCGCATTTGGTGTTGTTTCGTCATAGAATTAACCAGAAAAATCTTTTGGCATATTGTTATATCACCAATGTCACTGAATTGAACAGTGTTCTTAGGCGACTAGCAAAGTTGAATGATGTGCTTGGCAGTCTAAATTGTTATCTGGATTTCTATCTTTTTGGTCACGAATATATGCTAACAATTTTGGTATCATAGAAAACTAAAAATCGAATTAGCTTGGTTGGCTATGTCTGATAACTAATATTAATGTCATGGCCTTACAATATAATTCATGCCGGGTGTTTTTTGCAGCCCGCCTGAACAGTATTACAAAAAATGCTGCCTATATGTCAGAACATTTAGTAATTACCCTCCTGTACCTCACATTTGGTAATCAATCAATCTGAAGTTATTTTGCAAACTGACGAATTCAAACATATTTTTAACTGAATGTGGGGGGGGGGTACCACAATGCTTGCTTGATATGTCGATGACAAAAGAATATAATTTAAAGCAGCATTTTAGAATCTTGTGAGCAATGAGCATTTTCCAAAGTTAAGATTTTGCTTTAAAATCCTATAGCTGTTCAAAAGCACTTACATTTGCGGAAACACTTTTACCGTTATGAAGAGTTTGAAATCTTACACTAAACGTAGATATAGAAAGCCTTTTGCTGGTTCTAGTAAGTTTTTTGGTGGTTTTTGCATGTTTTAGCTTGATAAATGACAAATACTGATCAACGTGGCTAACAATTTTGTGGCCCCTGGAGCCGACAACCTTGGACCACCCTGTTCTAGACCTTACCATTGAATTTGAAAAAAAAAAATCAAACTACAAAAGTAGACATATCAGAATTGATATATATTGAGTGAGCCACTCAAACACTGAGAATTCTGACCCATGTTGTCAAATAGATCGAAAGCTTGAGCTTTATGAAATCCTTAATACTCACAAAGCAGAAAACTAACATTAAAATATTACTATGATATTAACACGGCTTATTTCAAATTATTATTATTACAAGGAGCTAATGGAATGCTGCTTCAATAGAGAAAAGTATCATGCCCCCTGTTTGAGGGAGTGACCATAGATTTGTATCTGGCTCTTATTCTGTTAACCGAAAATATTGAACTTGGAAAATGTATTTTCTCTCGTCATAAACAAAATAAATAACAATAAACAAAATTGTAAAATTATTTTTAACTCAGAGCAACATAGTCATATTACGGTAATATTTCAAAAACAGAAATGCTTTTGTTGTCCAACCTTCAATGTTGGAAATAAGTAGCTTTTTAGAATTGTTATCATTCATCATTTAATGTTTGAAAGATGTTATCTTCTGTCCCAAATTTCAATCTGAATTGCATTCAAATTTTCAGAAAAATGTGTTATATGACTCTTTTCAATGCCGTTCCCTCCAAACCAGGTTATGTACAATTGATCACTGATATCTGTTAGAAGGAAATACTATTTCCTATTTCCTTCTCCATTTTTAAGAGATATCAGTGAACAGTTGTACAAGGCCTAATTTAGAGTGAATGGTGTTAATAAGAGTCATATAGTACATTTTTTCTCAAAAAATATATTTAATGATAAGTACTCAAGAAAAGAATACTTTGCAAATTTGGTTCTAAAATTTTCTTTCAATCAAGTAAACTTGGAAATTCATCAAAAAAAATTTAATATATTTTAAGTACGATATAGGGCAATTTCGGGTATTTCACATAACCACAAAACAAGACTCAACAGAACCGAATTGATCAGAAGAATTGGTTATTATCTTTTTCAAACAAATTTTCGAATAAACATTTAGGCCTGGGAACTATTCTTAAAAAAAAAATTTAAAATTATAGAGGTTTTTCATAAATTCCACCATGTAATCCAATTTTGGGTTATGAAAGTGTAAAACTATAACATATTATAAAATCAAAATTTCCTCCAACCCTTGTTAATACGTTAATTATGTCATTATTATTGTGTTATACCTCTGTGTTTCCCAAGGATGATTTGAAAGCTTGTAGTTGATCTGATGACAGGTTGCAGTTGATAAGGCCCAAGTATTCAACACAGGATTGATTGGAAAGTATTTGTCCAACTGATGTTAAACCTTCAACTCCCATGTTTGTGTTTTCACTCAGAACTAACATCATGATCTATAAAGAAACAAGAATAATTTATAAACCATGAAATCTATAAATGGTTCTCTACTGAGTGAAAAATAAAAAAATATGAACTTCTCAAACTGAAAGTAGTTTTTGATACAAACATATCATTAATATTTCATAGAAAATACCGTTGAATCCCTGGTTAACAACTGCACAAGATGAAATGATTGAGCAATTATGAAATCTTTGAAACTCATAGAACAGAACAAAAATATTGTTATGATATCAAAACAGTCACAGTTGCAGGTATGAATTTAAAATTTCAAAAGTCAAAAAATGTTTTGACCTGCCTTTGCTCACTATGAGATAACAAAATTTCTAAAAAGTTTAGCATTTGCAAAATTTCTCGCAGTTTTTGCAGGGAAGTGCACTTATAGTAAACAAAGAAAAATTATAGCTCATACTATAGCTTAAAATACAAAAAATTTAAAATCAAGTTTGTGTTTTTTCACTTTAATACAAAAATCAACATTGGGTGAAATAGCAATCGGGTCGTTGCTGCAAGCCATGTCAATTGAACAAAAACTCAGCTAATTCTGTGAAGTTTCATTGAAAATATTTCTAAAAACTTTTTAGTTCCTGATCAAGCATATTCATTGTGTACAGCGGTTTTCTATTCGGAAATTTGGGTGACTCCGTCTGGTAACCATCTAATTATTTTTACACATATAAAAATTTCTATAAATGGTTCTTTAGTGAGTGAGAAATAAAAAAACAA